GGTGGAGATGGTGGGCAAGGTGGAGATGGTGGGCAGAGGTGGTGTTGGGAGGGGAGAGGTGGCAGGTGGAGGTGGCTGGCAGAGTGGAGGTGGTGGGCATGGGTAGAGATGGGTGGGAGAGGTGGAGTGGGTGGCAAGGTGGAGTGGTGGGAATGTGGTGGAGATGGGTGGGCAAAGTGGAGATGGGTGGGCAGAGGTGGAGATGGTGGGCAAGGTGGAGTGTGGGTGGCAAGGTTGATGATGGGTGGGCATGTTGGTGGAATGGGTGATTTGGCTATGTTGGTAGTGATGGGTGTGCAAAGATGTGGGAGAGGCTGGAGGTGGGTGGGCAGGTGGAAGGTGGGAGTGGGTGAGAGTGCAAGGTGAGATGGTGGCATGTGGGTGAGATGGGTGCAAGTGATGGTGGGGATGGAGATGGTGAGAGCAAAGGTGGAGATGGTGGGCAGAGTGTGAGGGTGGCAGAGTGGAGATGGGGGGCAGGGTGGAGTGAAGTGGGTGCATGAGGATCAGGAGATGGGTGGGCAGGGGGTGGCAGGATGGGTGGGCAGAGGTGGGGTGGGTGGCAGAGTGGATGGTGGGCTGGGTGGAATGGTGGAATTGAGAGGGGTGGGCAGAGGTGGAGATGGGTGGGGAGAGGTGGAGATGGGTGGGCAGAGGTGGAGGTGGGTGGGCAGAGTGGGTGGAGTGGTGGGGTGGGGCAGGGTGGAGAGGTGGCAGTGAATGGGTGCAGAGGTGGGTGGGGAATGTGGGTGGGAGGTGTGGGTGGCATGTGGGTGGAGAGGTGGAGTGGGTTTGGAGATGGGTGGGCAAGGTGGAGATGGGTGGGAGAGGTGGAGATGGGTGGGCAGAGGTGGAGGTGGGTGGGCAGAGGTGGAGATGGGTGGCAAGGTGGAGGTGGGTGGGCATGTGGGTGGAGATGGGTGGAGATGGGTGGAGAGGTGGAGATGGGTGGGCAGAGGTGAGGTGGGTGGGCAGAGGTGGAGATGGGTGGGCATGTGGGTGGAGATGGGGTGGGCAGAGGGGAGATGGGTGGGCATGGGTAGAGATGGGTGGGCAGAGGTGGAGATGGGTGGGAGAGGTGGAGATGGGTGGGCAAGGTGGAGTGGGTGGGCAAGGTGGAGATGGGGGCATGTGGGGAGAGATGGGTGGGCAGAGGTGGAGATGGGTGGGCATGAGGTGGGGAGATGGGTGGGCAGAGGTGGAGTGGGTGGGCAGAGGTGGAGGTGGGTGGGCAGAGGTGGAGGTGGGTGGGCATGTGGGGGGAGATGGGTGGGCATGAGGTGGAGGTGGGTGGGCAGAGGTGGATGGGTGGGCAGAGGTGGAGTGGGTGGGCAGTGGTGGAGGTGGGTGGGCATGGGTGGAGATGGGTGGGCAGTGGGTGGAAAGGTGGGGGCAGAGTGGAGATGGGTGGGCAGAGGTGGAGATGGGTGGGCAGAGGTGGAGATGGGTGGGCAGAGGTGGAGGTGGGTGGGCAGAGGTGGAGGTGGGTGGGCAGAGGTGGAGGTGGGTGGGCAGAGGTGGAGATGGGTGGGCAGAGGTGGAGATGGGTGGGCATGTGGGTGGAGGTGGGTGGGCATGTGGGTGGCTATGTGGGAGGGATGGGGAGGGCTCAGGGAACAAACAGGGTTGTTTTTTATTTGGTTATTTTTTTGTTTGGGGTATTCGGAGCAGCTTTAATTTTGTAAAATGCATGCTAAAAACGTCAAAAATAATAAACAATATGTTTTCGGAACTCCAAAACTTTATCAGCAGAAAACAAATAAAAGTATACGCCCTGCATTCAAATCTGGTGAAATAGAAATGTGACAAAGAATGTTGACAACAAATGTGCAAAGGTAAAGGATGTGTACAGGATTATGATTTATTTTTCTACAATGTTGATTTTGGGGTCAGTAACCCCCAGCACCAAAAATGTGATAAGCTTGGTAGTGTGCGTGTTAAGCCTCTTAACACAGATTGTTAGAAATGCTCTCTCTTTGGTGGCAGGTTCAGATGATAGAGGCTCAGTAAAATGCATCTACTGTAAGTTTTAATGAGTAAGCATCAAATCAGGGTAAAATAATTTGAGGAAATTTTAGGAAAATAACAATCTGGCCTTATTTGAGTAGAGGAGGGGGGTTGAGATAGAAGGTGGAGGGGTGCTCGTTCTCTGCCCTCAAATCAACTCCCATCTAATCAAGCTCCAGGCCAATCAGTTCCATTCATTTGACATCATGGAATTTATGCTGAACAAAAGCTACCCTGCAGCCCCCCCTCTGAAGTCAAAAATCACAAGCCGCTGTCCAAAGTCGTATGGTTGGCGAAGCTGCGCTGCACACCCACCCTCCCAACCAGCAGGGAGGGCATAACCATACTACACCACCCCACTTCCACAGCCACCCAGCTCTTCTCCCCCTCTCCAGCCTCTGTAGCCCAGGACTTTGGCTCCCTGACTGGACCCCTGTGAACCAAAGTGCAGCGAAGCCCTCCCGAGTCACGTGAGAGTCTGGTACAGTAGTTATACACACACAGAATCATCCCACTGTTATTTAACAGACAGACACATCAGCAACCTGCACAAGGTCACTCCAGAGCATTGTGTATCAGCACGGCAGCCTCACACACACAAACTCCCTCAGAGGACCATCACATCCCACTGTGGGACTCAAACACCGGCAGCCAACATTCATCAACTGCATCCAACTCTGTCTGACTGAGAGGAAGCTTACAGAGTCAGGTAGGTCGCTTGCTGTTAGGTGTTTCTGTCAGGATTGGAAATGTGTCATTTGTTGATGAAGAACTACTATGTAATGTTTTGAAAAGAGTTGAGTTGAATACCATCATGTTACATGGCCATCTGAGGTTGAGGACCACTGGTATAGATATATAATGGGGTGGTATTTTTCCTGGTTGCTTATTGAGTTATAAAATCATAACTTTTATTTTACTGTCTTTTTATAGATTTTATTTGACACAATTACTTTTCAGGTGTGCATAACTTTCATTTATCAAGTTTACGCAGTAATTGGGATGGACTAACAGAAGCATATTTGACTGTATTTGGAAAAGAAATGGCATAACATTTTGGATTGAGAGATGCAACAAGTTAATCAGGTCTCTTCAAAGATAATTTCTATTTTTCTTACTTCTTACTGTATGTATTTGGCAGGTGTCCCAAACTAACCCCATCTTACCTAAGATGACATACCTCATAGGATATAAATGTCAATTTACATTAAGTTGTATACCCCCTTTTCTAGCAATTAGTGGTACAGTACAGTATGTCCAATATGAAGTTTGGTGTTCTTTCGTTTTTCTTCTTCTAGCAAGTAATCTGTGTGAAACTAACTTTACATTTACATTTTAGTCATTTAACTTGACTGCAATTATTTCCATGTCTTATTTTACAGTCAACAACATACAATTTACCAAGGATTGAACAAGGAAGAAAAAGTTGAACAGTCTTTTTGTCAAAATTATTATTAATGTAAAGTTGAAAAAATGGCTGGAGATTGGTTACAGCTATACAATGCCAAACTAATTGAAATGGGTGACATACAGTATGGATGATGTTATAGCTTTTCCCTGGAATACATGGGGTAGTTGAAATACAATTGCCATGGCATTGCATGTTAATATAAAATGCAGATTAACGTACTTTCTCATCAGTCTTCATATCACTCTGTCTTTCTCTTTTAGAACTGTCTGGCCTACCTTTTATAAGAGGTGAAGGAAAAAACTAAATCAAATGCTTTTACCACCATCTACTGGTCTACTGGCAACGTACCTTATATTCAATAGCGTTTTAGTAGTACAGTAGGCGAACTTGAGATTTTTGTTGATTTCTACTGAAGATTTATTGTAAATGGTTAAACAAAATAGTTTGCCACACTGTGTGATTTTATAAATGTATGTATTTTGCCAAAAGTGCACTTCACAGCCAATTATTTGCTGTGAAGAAACACATGTTCACTATAGGCTGCCTCCATCTTGTTTCTGGCAAAAACAAAGTCGTAAGAGATTGAGGAAATACCTGGTGTTTCTGTTAGGGGAAAATAGAAAAACAACCTGTTTTTGCATGGTTTAAATTGAATGCTAATAGGGGTAACTTTTTCTCATTAGACTGGTTCATATGCTCCAGCTACATAATGCAGTGTTGGATCACATTTCACAGCCCAACATTAATCTGAATCAGGAGACAATCATTAGACAACAGCAAACTAAAGCAAATGCTAGCTAACTGAATCCATCTGCGGGAAAGATTTGAGGCATGGATGTACTCCAAACAAAGCGTTGTCGACAACATTCTAGGTAAACGCTGCAATGTCAGCTCAATTGGAAATTACCTTTAAATGTCAAGGCGTGCTGTAATCCGGTTTCGGATTGAACCCCAGCCAAAATCGTGTTATGTCAAATTAACTATTAGAAAATATCAACAGCACAATATGATTGTGACAACATGTATAGGCACCATACTAGAGGGTAGGACATAGAGATAAACACATGTATCGATCTCTATAGGGTAGCCACAGTAAAGGACTCTCCAAGGACTCAAGGTTGTTGAAGAGATATGCTGAGAATGTGTGGGACAGGAAGAAGATTGAGCAAACAAGTCAAACCTGATAACCATGTGTTTAGGGTGTGTTGCACTACAGTAAAGTCATAGACATTACAGATACACAAAGTGGTCAAGGTAGCATATACTGCATTCCCTTTTAGGTCAGTGCAAAATGAAACATGTACTGGAAACTAGGAGTAGCGACGTTGGTAGTAGTGTCATGTCTCTCTCCTAAAACCAATCTGGAGTAGTCAGAACTGCCCTCTAACAGTTATAAATACACAGATTCTTATGACTAGCGTGTAGTAGTGTACCTAGGAAGCTGCCTCTTTCGCTCTCCCTCCCTCTTTCTCTCTCTTTCAGTCACGCTACAGCCAACATTTCCTGTTTAGGGGGGCAGAGCCAAGGTCATATTTTCTAGGAGTGGAGGAGAGGGGGAGGGTACAGTAGCTGACCCCTCCCCCTGCTGCTACTGCTACTGCAGCCTGAGCCTGCTCTAGTGCTCTGAAGCGCTGCAGGGAGGTAGAGCACATTGCTAAATTATTTTCGAAAGCGGCTCCTTTAAATCCGGGGGATTACGGTGTCATAGAGATGAGGATTCTGCGTACTTCCTGCTCTGTCAGTTAAATGGCGACACGGAAGTCTACGTGAGTGTGGGTGTGCGTGTATGTCAGAGTGTGGGTATAAGAGAGATAGAGAGGGGGGAGGGTAACGAACTGAATGCACACCCTTGCCTGCTGATGTAACGCAGCCAGATATTGCTCTGATCACAATGGAGTGAGAAGTTACCCAAAAGAGAAGGAGATACAATAGGCAGTCCCACTCCATCACAAGGTAAGATCGTAATCTGTCTGAGTCTAAGGGGAATTAGAAAATAATTTCACAAGCCTCTGTAAATTCATCTGCTCCACACTAAAGCTGAGCCAGTTTGTTAATTAGGCAACATGTGATGGGGAAATAGTCTAACCAGTAGTACTATTGGTTTGACTATTTCCCCATCACTCACATCCCATGTTGCCTAATTAACAAACTGGCTCAGCTACAGCGTGGAGCAGATGGATTTACAGAGGCTTGTGGAATTACTATGTATTCCGTGTAGAATGGATTCACGCTGAAGAATAACCGGGAAGAGAGGAACTATGGAGAGTTACTGTGAGCATACAGTAGTTCTGTAAAATATAAGTGTGTGTGTATCAGTATATATGTAAATAAAAACAGTGTTTCTCTCCATTCATACATTTACATTTGACATTTTTGCCATTTAGCAGACGCTCTTATCCAGAGCGACTTACATTATCTTTTTGTTTTTTAAACTGGCCCCCCGTGAGGAATCGAACACACAACCCTGGCGTTGCAAACGCCATGCTCTACCAACTGAGCTACACTAGTGAGTGAAGTGACTCATCAACTATTAAGTTACAGACGTTGAATTACAGGTAGCTATGAATCAGCAGAAGTCACTGCAACACCCTTTTACCACATACCATGTTGTACTTCCACAGAAAAGGATGAAGTGTATGTTCAGCCTGTGTGTATGGGGCTGTTCTGAGACTAGTGTGTTTGTGTGTGAAAGGTCAGGTACTCTGTGCCAGACTCAACATTCGGGGGGTGGGAAGGCTGCTGAGTCTGAGTCTTATGGTCTTATACTGTATAGCAGACAGGATGGCTTTTGTAACCAATGACAACGTGTGTGAGAGGGAAATCCCACCAACACTTACGTAGGCTAACCTTGAGGAGAACGTAGGCTAACCTTGAGGAGAACCAAGGGAACTATGGAAATGTGTTCATATAATGTTGTCTTTGTGCTGATGTTACAGAGCTGATAATGGTTCTTTTAGCAGCACATTGATTTAGTTCTGTGTTCTGGTACAAGGAATAGTTTGTTGGTAATTATGCCTTTCAACACCCCAACAAATATCAGTACATGATCAGTATTATGGCAATGTATGTTGTTGCATTTTAATAATGGAATTGTGCATTGTTTGTGTGTTTCAGGTCCTTTAAGCAAGTTGTTTACTGGCTGTGCCCCTGCCCTTCACCATGACTCTCCTAACCCACGTGCTGGCATGCCTCTTTGGCATGGGCTCCTGGGTGGCAATCAACGGGGTGTGGGTGGAGCTGCCCCTCATCGTGCCCGAAATCCCTGAGGGTTGGTACCTGCCCTCTTACCTCACTGTGCTCATCCAGATGGCCAACGTGGGGCCCCTTTTCATCACCCTCATGCACCGCTTCCGCCCGGGCAAGCTGGACGAGCGGCCCGTCATCTACTCCATAGTGGGCCTGGGCGTGGTCGCCACCTTCCTCCTGGCCTTCCTCTGGAAGCACACGGTGCCCCTAGCGGGCGCTACGCATAGTGTACCCCTCCTAGTGCTCTGTTTCCTACTCTCCGTGGTGGACTGCACCTCCTCGGTCACCTTCCTACCCTTCATGATGCGCCTCGGGCCCCAGTACCTCACTACGTACTTTGTAGGGGAGGGCCTTAGTGGCTTGGTGCCTGCCGTAGTGGCTCTGGTGCAGGGGGTGGGGGTGGTTCACTGTCAGAATGCTACAGTGGCCAATGGAACCTTAGGGATTAACTCCTCTGTAGGGGCCAGTGGTGAGCTCCATGCTCAATACCAGTCCGCTAACTTCTCGGCCCAGGTCTTCTTCCTCTTCCTCAGTGCCATGATGGTGGTGTGTCTGGCCGCCTTCCTCCTGCTCAACCACCACCCGGCCGTGGCCAGGGAGAGGAAGCGCGAGCACTACTTCAACAGAGGCCTGGCGGAGGAGAAGAGCGACCAAGCCCTGTCCCTGTCTCACAGACCACCAGAGGAGAAGCCCATGATCAGTTCTCCAGATGGCCCCCAGAGAGCCCGGCGGAGCTCCTTCGGGATGGGCTTCTACAGTAGGCTGGAGGTGGCGTTCATCTTTGTGGTTCTGGCCTGGGTCAATGCCCTGACCAATGCAGTGCTACCCTCGGTGCAGTCTTACTCCTGTCTGCCCTATGGGAACCAGGCCTACCATCTGGCTGCCACCATGGCAGCCGTGGCCAACCCTGTGGCCTGCTTCATCGCCATGTTCCTGCCCTTAAGGTAAGCCCAACTCTGGATTAGCATAACTGACTGATTAATAATTTACTGACCATAGACTCTCAGATCTATGCAGTCACCAGTGAAGGCTGTTGAAGGTAGAAATGGGGAGGAGTCATTGTAATGGCGGAAATAGAATGACTGGCAGTCACTGAATCAAGTTGACTTCTATAAGAAAATATAGAATAAACAGCTTTTAATAACATTGTACTCTCATCCTAAAACATACAGTACTTCAACAGATCATTTCTATAATCCAAACACCTTGAATTTTCCAACCCACTTCCTCAACTCACCTTGTATCTCATCTTTGTCCTTTTTCAGGTCGTTGGTGCTGATTGGGCTTCTGACAATAGTTGGGACAGGGTTTGGTACTTACATCATGGCCATGGCTGCACTGAGCCCCTGTCCTCTACTAGTCCACAGCGCCTCAGGAACCGCACTCATAGTAAGGCTCTTTCTGTTATTATGTCATGGAATACAGAAAATACATGTGTTCCGTTGCGAGATTGCTGATAACATCTGAACACATTACTGTCAATTTGATTTCATTGGGCCATTAAAAACGACATGTTTCTGAGTGAAAATGGGAGGTTTGAGGTCAAACAAAGGCTTCCTAAACAATCAAACTCATGTCAATGCTATTCAGTATGCAGTTGAAATCCTCTAATGTACTGTGAATATTGACACAATGCTAGTATTTTGTTTGTAATGTCTATCTACTCTCTGTTGTAGGTCATAGCCTGGATCTTGTTTGTCCTGACCCTCTCCTATGTGAAGGTGATCATTGGGGTGATCCTTCGGGATGAGGGCCACAGTGCCCTCGTGTGGTGTGGAGCGGTAGTGCAGCTTGGCTCCATGCTGGGTGCACTGTCCATGTTTCCCTTGGTCAGTGTCTATGGACTGTTCAAATCAGGGGACCCTTGTAACACCAAGTGCCCAAAGTAGGGATCAAGATGTGGCTTACTGTTGAAACTCACCGTAGAAAACAAAAATGTTGACACTGGAAATATATCTTTCATCATTTGAGTTTCTCTTTAAACTGATTTTAAGGTATCTAGTCTGTTGCCCTATGGTTGATTAGGAACTAAATGGCACCAAACCGCTTGTTTGTTTTCCGTTGAATAAAGTTTCAAAACGTTTTACTACAGATGTAGGATCTTAATTTGATCACCCTGTTGCAAGATAGCTTTTTATGCAATGCAGGAACTTTAAAACGTGTAGTGTATTTGAGGTTTAAAAAGGATTCTGAAGTTTGCAATTTCCACTTTGACATTTCAGACTTAATTTTCCCTTGCAAAAATGTATCACCCCCTACAAAAATGCCCATTAATTATAATCCACGTAATAATTCACATTTCCTGTTGCTGCAGGATTATTTTCCTGCTGTAGCAAACTGGCTCAAATTAAGACCTGAAATCTATACAGTGTGCCCTAATGAATGCGACTCAGTATGCCTATATTGAGGTTAAACACTGTGGGACGCCAATTTATTGATGTCTTAGACTTTTGTTACAAAGACCACAAAGATGATTGTATTTTATTGCTAAACTTGTTACAATTCTTCTTTAAGAGAAGATTAATGCCTTGTTTTACGTGAAGGGGAGTTAAGTATAGTGTTATAACAGTGATGATTTGGATATGTTACTGGGACAAAACAGTGCCTTCATTTTGGAGTTTCTAGGACTGCAAATCTCAACCAAAAGGTCATTTCTGTTTATTCTTTACCAGTCTATGTTTTATGTATTTTTTTCTAAACCAAAATGTGAGTGGCCTGAGTGGCGCAGTGGTCTAAGGCACTGCATCGCAGTGCTAGCTGTGCCACTAGAGATCCTGGTTCAAATCCAGGCTCTGTCGTAGCCGGCCGTGACCGGGAGACCCATGGGGCGGCGCGCAATTGGCCCAGCGTCGTCCAGGGTAGGGGAGGGAATGGCCGGCAGGGATGTAGCTCAGTTTGATAGAGCATGGCGTTTGCAACGCCAGGGTTGTGGGTTCGATTCCCACAGGGGGTATGAAAAAAATATAAATAATGTAAGTCGCTCTGGATAAGAGCGTCTGCTAAATGACGTAAATGTAAATGTAATGTGTGTTACATTCTTTGTATACGGCCTTACTGCAGTTTTAATGTAATGCACTGTAATTATGTATGGCTCATGTCAATTAAAATGTATACATATATATTTGTTGTATTTCTGTACTAATTGCTGACCTCATTATCAACTTTCTGTAGTTTATTTATCACTAGCATGGATATAATGCGTCACTGTAATCCTAATCATACTAAGAGCCTTCGCTTCCAGAATTTGACCAGTAGATGTCAGGCTAGGATAATGGTAATACAAACTGAGAGTGAGATGCGACACCTGAACGGAGCAGGGATCCACATCCTTCAGACCTATGGATATCACATATGCTTTCAATCTGCCAGTAAGATCTAATGGCAAAGTATTTAGCTAAGAATACAACTTCTTTCATGTATTTTTCTTACAACTGCTTTTGTGAGCAAGCATGTGTAGTTAATTTTGTTTAGGCATGTTTCTGTTATTTGTTTTAATTTGAGTCATGTAGCTAGACTATCAGTGTAGACTTACAGTATTGTTTAGGATTTTAGAAATTGATTGATATACACAATACATTTACTCACATTCATGTTACCATGAATATAGCCCTTTCATAATAAGGCCTTATTCTAGATAAATGTATAAATATCCCCATTTATATATTTTTAGGAGACCATACTTATTTTCTTTTTTACATTACTCATTTTCTATTTGCCCTTGCATCCTGAAATTGCTTGAAGTACTGTAGGAGTTGTGCATGTCTCTTGGGTAATTGCCCCATGCCACTAGATTCATGTCTCGATCATTTCCCGAATCCCACCCACTCACAGTAACTTAGTGAGAGCGGTTGATGGGTGCAGGTGTGTGCTCCTTTTCTCTACAGGCCCTAAAGACAGAGAGCACTGAGGTACCAAGTCATAGCCTGATTCAGACCCCAGTGGCCCCCATGGGCCCAATAGACATCTGGGTTCATCATCTCCTGTTGTCTCATACCATACATATGCTCTTATGTCTCTTTGTGGCTTTAACGGTTTAAGCGTACAGGGGCCCATCAATAAACTAAACAGAGGTTAGAGAACTTTAGGTGCTGAGTAATATATGCAGTGATTGATTTTATTTATCCTCTATTTGTCGAGAGCCCTGGCCAATTCAGGATGTTTCTTCTGTGAATGTGCAAACTGTCATTCAGGTGGACTATGTGCAAACTGTCATTCAGGTGGACTGCCTGACCTACATGAAGGTGTGTGCTTTGGTGAAACTGTCATTGGAGTAGCAGTGGCCATCTCTCTTGCTCTCGATCTCTCACTCTCTCCTATTGTCTCTCTCTAACAAATTATCTCGCTCAGTCTCTCCCTCTTGACCCAAATCTCCCACTGTCCGTCTCCCTCTCTCTAGGTCTCTTGGCCCCCTTTGATTATGCGTACAGCATACGTTGTGCTCATCATTTCAATTTAAAACATATGAGGGGAAAGCCTGCTCTTTAATGGGCCGACGTGGGATTGGAGAATGCTGAGAATGATTGAATTTTGTGCGAAGGCCAGGAACGATCAGGTCTCGCCTGGCGTTATGCAATCGACCATTCTCCCCTCACAACGCGACATCTGGTAAAAGTCAGAGAGGGAGGGCTGGAAAGCCCGACGTCTGGACGAGACCAAAAAGAGATTTCTCTAAATGATTCAAGACAATATTAAAGGAATGCTGAGCGATCAGGGAGCCAATTGAGATCTGATTCACCACTTCAAATGCAGAGACTCTGGAGGCGACTGCTTTTAATATTGCTAAATGAATCTTTTTACACCGTGATGCTTGACATACTATATTTCCTGACGGACGGAAACATATGGTTCCTATAGGAATCCTGCCATGCACTATTATTTATATGATTATGTCATGTCTGTTTTTGTTCTACTCTTTCCACCTGCTTGGCTGCATTTGAAAGTCTTAGGCGCAAAGGCCGGCTTACTCCCAGGCCTTAAAATTACCACTTTGTCCAAACTCATCAAAAACACTTTTATTGCAACTTCATAGTATCATTTTGGGCCCTTTGGGGAAGGCTAGAGACTTTCCCCCCCCCCCATTTAGTCCATTACACAGTTGTCTTGACCTTGGCTACTCTTTTTGTGCAACAATGTACAAAGTAATCAAAAGGTAAAAGCAACACTTAGAGTAGGCACCTAGCAAAAAGATAAGCTTTTATGATAAAACATTGATGTGGGCTATATTCTATAACAGGCAGGTAATCTTTGGAGATAATAATATGCCATTTAGCAGACGCTTTTATCCAAAGCGACTTACAGTCATGTGTGCATAAATTTTTACATATGGGTGGTCCCGGGGATCGAACCTACTACCCTGGCGTTACAAGCGCCATGCTCTACCAATTGAGCTACAGAGGACCGGGATGACAGGAATGCCTTGCTGTTAAGTCCAGTATTGGTTTACAAAGTAGATGGCTACTCCTAATGTCATCCTTCTCCCACCCCTTATCAAGCAATTGTAGCTGACAGACACTCTAACCTACATCAGAAGTGTACTATCAGTGTGTACTATATACTTTTAATGCAAAATTTCATAATATTGCAATAAATTACATTTGTGAGATGAATTAAATGAATGAGTTCGGTACTGTATGAGTGATCGGCTTTACTGCTCTGCTCTGCTATTCATGAACCGTGAGGCCACGCACACACACACACGGCCCCATCACAGAGAATGCAGGGCTTCTGTTAACATAATAATCCGCTGTTATGAGAACTTATGACTGTTCTCTGTGCTACATGCACACAGTAGAGACGTTCTATGAAACAGAATGTCCGAGCTGCGGTCAGAGAAGGAAATACCTCTGTGTTTACTGGCTCTCTAAAACGTGGCGGCACTTCCTTGTGAGTCCTCTGCGAGTCGTCTGCTGAAGGCCAAGAAGCAGGGCATTCAAAACCGATTTGAGATGGATCACAAAATGTCTCATGTGAGGGGAATTACTGGATCCCAAACGGTATCAGGTGAGGAAAACCCTGTTGGATCACAAAATGGGAGGAAAAGTGAACAGTTATTGATGGCAAAGGTTACTAGTGATGGAAAACACTATTTTCTTGTTACATAATTGTTTTGCTATTTGTGATACGTTTTCATGAAGGTAAGACTAGGGGCTCTATTCAATCCATATCGCGGAAGTTCAGCACTACAGCGTGATTGACATTTAAAGCAATGTTCCGCATTAGCAGTGACTGCATTCACGGTAAACACTGCATATGTCGGCTCAATCGAAAATGACCTTTACATTTCTATCGCGCAATCTATAACGCTTCAGTGATACAAATTGAATAGAGCCCTAGCCGTTCACTACACATTTTATTTCCACGTCTAAAACACATCTTTAGCTAGCCTGGCTATGTTGATTCTCTATACGCTGAATAAGGCTGAGGCCGAAACTTGTCCATGCAGAGCAATTTGTATGAATTGAAGATTATTTTCTGGTGTGCTGCCCATCCCATTTACTGTATTCTGACAGAGACCCAAACTAAAACCTCCTGTTGAGAAGTCCTATAGTCTCCTCTCTGTCAGGAAGCCAATCCACCAGGGGTGTGCCAGCAGGTCACCCAAAGGTCACGCCGGGCATCAATTAGAGTGCTTATTTAGTGGATTACTCCTTTAAGGGGAGTGATCGGCCTGCTAAGGCAAAGAATCATTAGCCCTTCCTCCCGCCCCCACCCTGCCAACAATCAATACAGAGGGATCATTAAAATGAATAGCTGGACATTCCCCTTTTCTCCGGATCCTCATTGTGAAATCAGTGTCAAGGGAAATGAAGATCGAGCCGGGAGAAGGCGTCTAAAAGCCTCCAGTGATTGTCATGAAGTCATCTTAATCTGAGAGCCCATAGCTGAGAGAGAGAGAGTACTAACCACCCACCTGAACTCTGACTAGCCCTGCTTTTAGCCCGTTAAGAGCAGCCCACGTGTCTGCTGCTACTGTAACATCAACACAACTACATAGTGTATACAGAACTGTATGGTAGACAAGCTTGAGTGCAAATAGTTGGGTCGATGACTGTGCAGTATGTGTGAGTGTTTCAGGGGTTTTCGCATGAATTTAGAGCATTGAAAAGGAAT